CAACCAAAATCAATCTCACCTTTTCTGTGGGTCAAAGCATATGAAAGAATTAATGCACATGACAATCCAGTGAAAACTTAATTACAGCTCTTGTGCTTAATGTTCACAAACATGGATACTGGGATTCATTTTCCATTCACAACGCTTGAGAGGTTCATTGACATATATATATTTCCACGATAAACAGCAGAACATCATGGACAAGAACAAACATATATTTCAATACTTTAACCTTGATAAATGACAAAGCCATGAGATCATGGATAAGATGCAAGCAAAGGAAGAGGAATGCATGTGGAGTTCCTCCAGACTAGAGAGTGCAATTTGAGTGTCTCCTTTGCCCTTTCTTTGGCCTTGAAACAACCCTCAACTTGAAGCACCAAGCACAACTTTGACACTGCTCCAAACAGCAGCATTTCATGAAGAACTCTTGGGGTGGCTGAATACCTACAAATGGAGGTCAAAATTTTCACCCCTCTATCACTTGCCACTTGTGAAACCCTCAGAATTTTCTTTGCCACAACAGCAATTCCAGCTCCATGGTTCACCAATTCAGCCCTTCCTTCTGCACAACCGCATAGTTTGTCCAAAGCTATCAACATGAGTTCACATGCTCTCCTATCAGACACGTCAACAAGTAGCTCAACGATGACTAAAACTCCACCACTCTCAACTGCTTTGATCTTGTTCCTGCCCCATGAACACAACTCCACCAGAAGTTTCAAAGCTGCCTTTGAAGCCTCTCGTGAAATCTGATCCCTCAACACTCTAATTATCTCCACAAACAGCTCTGGGGTGACATTGTTCAATTGGGTTGGACTAGCCACCTTAAGTGTTGACTTCAATAGCAAAGTTGTATGACTTCGAGATTGGCACTTTCCAAGCTTCAAGACATGAAGCAAAGACTCCAAAAACTGAATCCCTTCGTTGTTCATCAGTTTTTTAAGCTGAGATTCAGAAGGGTTTAGGTGAAACATGATTTTTATAGCTGCTTCACTCATACCGGTTGAATTTATCATCATGGTGGAAGCCAAGAAATCTATTGCCCCTGCAGACTCCAAACAGATTTTGTTACTTTCACTTTCAAGAGCAATATATTGAAGCCTACTAAGACACTTGAGCTGTTTTTCTGGGAACTTCTTTGCCTCTAAGAGAAGTTTGACAATCTCGGTTTGATCAATGGTTGGGTTTGGAGATGAAAAGGTTTCATGTCCAAGGCAGGCATTGTGGTCGCACCAAGCTTGGATCAAACGTCGGAGAGTGTGGTTTGGAGTAAGATCTGTGCGTGACAGTGATTGCCTAGTGACAGGGCAGGTTTTGTTGTTCTTGCATGAAAATAACCATCTCTCTATGTTTTGTCTGTCATATGTGATTCCTGTGTACACTGTCACGGGGTCTCTCATAAGCTGCAATGAAACTGGACAGAGGAAAAGAGCAGGAACCTCCATTTCTTCCATCTTTGGTTGGATTGAACTGAGTTCTACCTAAAAAGAAATGACATGAAAGAAATAGTGTTAGCTTTGGTCTTCCTTTGAATTCTATTATGGAAGAGTCAGAGAAAAGAACAATAAATAAATGACAACCATAAATTAGCTACAAAATAAGATGAATACTATAAATATATTATATCAACTCTAAAGTATAAGAATTCACATTTTAATATATTTTCAGTTTTATGATTACAATTTCAACATATCACGTTATTTTTTATAACAAAATAATGTTGTTTGAGTTAAGGAAGATTATTTATAAACAAGGAAAAAGATAAAAATAATTAATTAATGTAGTTATGTACTAAAAACTTAAGTTAAAAAATACCAACTAAATTAGAATAACGTATTTTTTGTTGTTTATTATTATTAAAATTCGTGAAAATGCATAGATAATATATACATATATATATTATGGTCCTATTTAGTGGAAATTGAGTAATTTTAGCACACAATATAGTGAAAGTATAAAAAGTGTGTTTGATAAATCAAAATTTTCGCTTCACTCCCCGTATGGAAACTAACTCACTATTTAAGACAATAATATGGAATAAACATAAATATACTTATTTAATATTTATTTTATCAATAGATGGAGTCACTGATATTAATATCATAATTAAAGTAAGTAGAAGTTCATAGCTAAAACTCATAAACCAATTTGGCACATCATAGACTTGAGACTAGTTAGATTAAAAAAATTATAAATTTTAATATGGTCCAAAATTAAATTTAGTTCACCAAGAATCTGATTTACGTGAGTGTTAGTGGTTAGTCACCAATTCATTATAAAAAAGTATTGAAAACAAACATCCTAACACTGTCGAACAACAACCAACATAATTTGAAAAAAAAANAGGCAACTGGGTTATATACACTTCAATCACGAAGCTGTGTCGAAGAAAATGGGTCACAGAAACACTCAAAATTTCATGATATCATTTATCTTCCTTGATGAGTAAACTTAGATTCAGCAGCTTTAACAATTAATGAAAGATGACCAGATAATATTGTTTTTAGAAATTCAAATTAATAAAAATAAGATTTCAATTTTAATTGATAACCTAAAATAAAGGTATTAGATAATGAGATTGATCTATACAACATATATGTGTATTTCTAATCTCTTCATTACTAAACTTACTAAAAGCATTGATATTTAAATGTATTCAACTAATTGATACTCACTTAAACATCCACAAAAGTAATTATTTTTTTTTTTTTTTTTTTAAGTTGATAATCACATGGTGCTCCTTTTAGCAGTGAATATTTATAGAATTTTCAAGTCCATAAATGGTAAGAATTTAATTAAAATACATTAACATGATAAATATTGTTATATTATATATAAATTATGATATAATTGAAACAAAATTTGTAATAATTTCTTTTAAAAACATATTTAAAATATGTTCATGGGTGTTTCCAAAAGTAGGTCAAGCAACAAATTTGATTTAAAGCTTACATCAATGGCCCTTTGTCTTTATATCAGTACCAAGTGGATTAGGTAAAACTAATACTTCAACATTGAAACATCATGTATAGCTAAAAGCTCAGCACAACCAACCAAAATCAATCTCACCTTTTCTGTGGGTCAAAGCATATGAAAGAATTAATGCACATGACAATCCAGTGAAAACTTAATTACAGCTCTTGTGCTTAATGTTCACAAACATGGATACTGGGATTCATTTTCCATTCACAACGCTTGAGAGGTTCATTGACATATATATAATTCCACGATAAACAGCAGAACATCATGGACAAGAACAAACATATATTTCAATACTTTAACCTTGATAAATGACAAAGCCATGAGATCATGGATAAGATGCAAGCAAAGGAAGAGGAATGCATGTGGAGTTCCTCCAGACTAGAGAGTGCAATTTGAGTGTCTCCTTTGCCCTTTCTTTGGCCTTGAAACAACCCTCAACTTGAAGCACCAAGCACAACTTTGACACTGCTCCAAACAGCAGCATTTCATGAAGAACTCTTGGGGTGGCTGAATACCTACAAATGGAGGTCAAAATTTTCACCCCTCTATCACTTGCCACTTGTGAAACCCTCAGAATTTTCTTTGCCACAACAGCAATTCCAGCTCCATGGTTCACCAATTCAGCCCTTCCTTCTGCACAACCGCATAGTTTGTCCAAAGCTATCAACATGAGTTCACATGCTCTCCTATCAGACACGTCAACAAGTAGCTCAACGATGACTAAAACTCCACCACTCTCAACTGCTTTGATCTTGTTCCTGCCCCATGAACACAACTCCACCAGAAGTTTCAAAGCTGCCTTTGAAGCCTCTCGTGAAATCTGATCCCTCAACACTCTAATTATCTCCACAAACAGCTCTGGGGTGACATTGTTCAATTGGGTTGGACTAGCCACCTTAAGTGTTGACTTCAATAGCAAAGTTGTATGACTTCGAGATTGGCACTTTCCAAGCTTCAAGACATGAAGCAAAGACTCCAAAAACTGAATCCCTTCGTTGTTCATCAGTTTTTTAAGCTGAGATTCAGAAGGGTTTAGGTGAAACATGATTTTTATAGCTGCTTCACTCATACCGGTTGAATTTATCATCATGGTGGAAGCCAAGAAATCTATTGCCCCTGCAGACTCCAAACAGATTTTGTTACTTTCACTTTCAAGAGCAATATATTGAAGCCTACTAAGACACTTGAGCTGTTTTTCTGGGAACTTCTTTGCCTCTAAGAGAAGTTTGACAATCTCGGTTTGATCAATGGTTGGGTTTGGAGATGAAAAGGTTTCATGTCCAAGGCAGGCATTGTGGTCGCACCAAGCTTGGATCAAACGTCGGAGAGTGTGGTTTGGAGTAAGATCTGTGCGTGACAGTGATTGCCTAGTGACAGGGCAGGTTTTGTTGTTCTTGCATGAAAATAACCATCTCTCTATGTTTTGTCTGTCATATGTGATTCCTGTGTACACTGTCACGGGGTCTCTCATAAGCTGCAATGAAACTGGACAGAGGAAAAGAGCAGGAACCTCCATTTCATCCATCTTTGGTTGGATTGAACTGAGTTCTACCTAAAAAGAAATGACATGAAAGAAATAGTGTTAGCTTTGGTCTTCCTTTGAATTCTATTATGGAAGAGTCAGAGAAAAGAACAATAAATAAATGACAACCATAAATTAGCTACAAAATAAGATGAATACTATAAATATATTATATCAACTCTAAAGTATAAGAATTCACATTTTAATATATTTTCAGTTTTATGATTACAATTTCAACATATCACGTTATTTTTTATAACAAAATAATGTTGTTTGAGTTAAGGAAGATTATTTATAAACAAGGAAAAAGATAAAAATAATTAATTAATGTAGTTATGTACTAAAAACTTAAGTTAAAAAATACCAACTAAATTAGAATAACGTATTTTTTGTTGTTTATTATTATTAAAATTCGTGAAAATGCATAGATAATATATACATATATATATTTAATGGTCCTATTTAGTGGAAATTGAGTAATTTTAGCACACAATATAGTGAAAGTATAAAAAGTGTGTTTGATAAATCAAAATTTTCGCTTCACTCCCCGTATGGAAACTAACTCACTATTTAAGACAATAATATGGAATAAACATAAATATACTTATTTAATATTTATTTTATCAATAGATGGAGTCACTGATATTAATATCATAATTAAAGTAAGTAGAAGTTCATAGCTAAAACTCATAAACCAATTTGGCACATCATAGACTTGAGACTAGTTAGATTAAAAAAATTATAAATTTTAATATGGTCCAAAATTAAATTTAGTTCACCAAGAATCTGATTTACGTGAGTGTTAGTGGTTAGTCACCAATTCATTATAAAAAAGTATTGAAAACAAACATCCTAACACTGTCGAACAACAACCAACATAATTTGAAAAAAAAAGGGATGGAAGATATCAACGAATCCTCTCCTTTCCATTTCTGATTCTTCCTAATTTCTTTATTCTTAAAATGAAAATCAAAATCTCAATGCATTTAATATGATGTTTCTTTTTTTCATAATCATTTCACTAATTTGAAATTTAGATCAATTAGAAAAAAATAGATCAAAGGAAAATTAATAAAGCTAAAATACTATAATAAGTCCTTTTTACCTGTTTTAGTAACTCTAGTTTATACAAAATTTATTTTATAGTTATAGAGTAGACATTGCAAGAAAACAATATTTTTTTTTATCATTTGATTAAATTTATTGTTAAATCTATTAACTTATTCTTTATCAACATTTAATAATATACGCAAGAGATTTTATCCAATAATAAAAATAATTAAAAGAATGCAAAAATATTGTATTAGGCTTTTTTTAATATATGTAGCATATGTGGAAGACACGTGGTGAGAAAAAAAAAGGAAAAAAAAAGAGTGGTACATAAGGTAGGAATATCTTATACAAGTTGTTGTGAATGATAAGGTCAACACATGGAAATTAAAAGGAAGAGATGGTGATGGTGAAAGTTAAGAGCTTTAACGTGGGAGATAGCATATTAAATGATGAAATATAAAGACCTTCGTTTTTTTCTTTATTACTATACCAGCTCCCGTTGCAAATTGCAATTGCAATTAAGCCCTATTTTGACTTCTGTTTAATTATACTCTCTTTTTTTTTTTTTCAATTTTGAATGAAAATAAATTGGAGTTTGGTATTCTTTGATCTCTTCTTATGACCTCAATGCGTATATTTTTTACTTTGCTTTTATATACATTAGATTTTTCTACACGTTTTCTTTTGTTACATTTTATTAATTGCCTTCGGCAATGGTGATTTTATTAAATTTTTATGCTGTATCAAATAAATATGAAAATTTTATGTGTATTAAAGTATTATTCTGTTTTAAATTTAAGATACCTTTTGAAGGAAAATTACATGGACTGGGATGTTGTCCAGAAGGTAATACAATAATTTCTCAGGATATTTAATTAATCATGGGGAAAATATAAAAAAAATAAAAGAAATAAATGTGTGTGAAGTCCGAATAGCAACAAATTTAAGTCAAAGAGACGCAGATGTTAAAAAAAGAAAGAAAGAAAAAAATAAAGTGGGTTTGACTAAGGACTTTTCTATCTACAACAACACTTGGATACCAGTGTCATTAGGAATTTGTATATTTCTTCTTTTATAATGTTTGTTATACTTAATAATAGGTATTAATATCTCCATTTATATTACACCCTCATAAAAGAATATAAAAGTTTTGAATTTTTTTTATCAAAAGTGATGTTATTTTAATATATTTCCCCTAATTATATTTTCTTTTGATCATGTTTTTTTACCCTCGTTATGATGTTTTATATTTGGCGTTAGTATCATTACAGTATTTTAAAATATTATTGTATCCATATATTAGTACTTCTTTTATAAGTATTATCTATATTTCGTTAGTATAGGTATCCCTAATTCTTATACATATTTTGAAGATGATTATATAATATAATATATATTACTTATTGTTATTAACATCTTTTTCTTAAACTATATAGAGATACAAAATAATTCTTCTAGTAGTATTATTTACATCAATAAAAATTGTTGTTATTATTATTATTTTTTAACATTTTTACAGCATTTTAATACTATTTATTTTTATAATAATATTTTAATACTGTTGTCAGAGTCCCTTTAAATTACTTTTTCATTAGAGAGGTCTAATTTTAGAGCCAATAATAGTTAGGGATTATTATATTTTTAGGAGATTTTTATTTTCTATTCGCCATATCAAGTGTTTTTTGTGATTTTATGAAGTAAATACAATGCCATTCTTTTTTCTTGTCAGTCAAAATATTTTAATATCAACTTTTAATATACATTTTAAAGTATTATAAATGATGACATTCTCGAACAACTTTATTAGTTTTTCATTCATACCACTAGACTATAATTTTATTTTTATTTTTATCAATCATATTATATTAGTTGTTACTATTTATTTGTAAAAAGAGTTTAATCGGATAATTTTTTATTTTTCTTCAGAATAATTACGTGTCACTTTTTACAAATAAGATAAGAAATTAATGACTGATAATTTATTTTTATGGAAATTAATAGATACTTTTTATAAAAATTATCAACGTCTCAAAATAATTATATTAGTGTAATGAATTTTGTCTAAAAAACTATTAGTATAAAATATTACTAGAAAATAAATACAATACTTTAGATGTTGATAAATTTCTAATTCCATGAGCCTATAAAAAAAAATGGAAGAATTGGGGAATTAAACACGTTCGGCGGTGTGATGTTTTAGAAAAATGATCGGAATGGAATGATTAGAACAATATTATGAATGTGAAGAAATTTAGACGATGTTAATTTAAAATACTTTTGAAGTTAAATCATAGTACTAATGTGACACAATTATAATCTAGAGTATTTTAAATTATTATTATGTCTGATATGATTTTCATTAAAATTGAACCAAAATTATTTTATCCTAACATAATTTCAGTTAAAAATATATTAAACTAAAGTTACGTTACATTAACAATACTTCAACTTAAAAATATTTTATACTAAAATTATATTACTTTAACATAAACTTTTTCTTAACAAAGTAATGTCATGAGTTATTTATACTCTTAATTTTTTCAAATATAAGTAATTTAAAAAAATTGAAGAATTAGGATAGATAATAATTTGTATCCCAATTAAATGAAACGACTTTGTTTGATCTATTTTTCTTTAAAAAAAAATAAAATCATATATATATTTATTACTATTTCTTCGATTTTGTTATTTTTCATTCCAAAAATGAGATAAGGGGTGCTCCTCTGACGCGCTTTGATAGTTACAGGACACTGGAAACCGATAGTGAAAGTATGGTAAGAGATTAGAAACAGTCAAAAAGTGCAACGAAAAATGGGAAAGCATTTAATGCATATGTGGCGCATTGCTGTCACTCAGAAATTCTGAAAACATCAAAAAACTGTATTGGACTTCACACAGTTATAACTTTTTTATTTAAGAAAACTATTATGGTTTTTGGAAAAACTGAAGTTCCAAGAATGTCTTTTCGTTTAATAGTTTTTTATTATTATTTTATTTAAAATTTTAGATATATGTATCAATAAAACCCTTTCAATAATACTGTTTTTTTAAAATATTAAATATTGTAAAAATGTTTGTTCAAGACATTCAATATTTGTATATATCTTAGATAAAGTTTTCAACCTTTTAAGTAGTAACAATATTTTTTTAATACTTCACTTTTAATTATCTTCATAATAAGTTTAGAATTCGTTTTTACTTCACTCTTCAAGATGCATAAATAAGTATTTGTACATTATAATTAGGAGTTGCGGTTAAGCCTATTATACTAATATTGTTTTTTTTAATCGGATGTTTTCTTCAAACATAAATTTGAAGTTACTAATATTATAATTTTTCTTTCAAATGATTAAAATATACTTTGCGACTAAGGTTGAGTATTTTTGTCTAACAATTAAAAAAATATTGTTCTTATTGATTTTTTAAGTTGAGTAAGACAATCTCCATCAATTTTCTCTATGGACAAAACTTTTTCATAAAATATCAATATGTATTAATTGTGATTGAAGCTTTATTTTTTTTGCAAGTTATCAATTCAGTTATAACAAGTGTGTCTATATATTACATAGTGTCTGTCTAAATCTGAATATATCATATGTTTGACTTATGCAATGTTGTCTTATTTCAAAATCAAATTAATTTATTTGTGTCATTTTATCAATTTACTCTTCAATACTACAACACAATTCATCGAGTTTTTTAGATCCAGACTTATTATTAGTGCTTCTACAGGACCAATCGAATGCACACAGCTTCAGGAAGACAATTCCTCACTCCTTTTCTCTTATTCATTCAGTCTTGTCCTAGGTCTTATTCTATGTTCATTTGTCTCAAACTGCTAAGATAGTACTTGTAAAAGGTACTCCAGATCTTAAGTCAGAATGCGGTCTAAACGCTTAGGTATTAAATGCAATAATCAATGTTATCAATTACCTTAGTTGGACCTTCTATTTATACAATTATAACGGGATTTTAATTACATAGTATTAATTATGGCTCATCTCACCCCTAATCCTAATTACAAGGG